GGGCATGATGTGATGATGCCTGAGAACTCGAGGCCTAGGGTGAATGGGGGGCGGACTAGGCTGCGATTGTTCTGGTGTTTGCCTTGGACCTATTAATGTATCAACAGTGAGGCATGGTTAGTTGGTTACACCTGTGGAATGAGAAATGAATTATTTGGGGGAAGTACGTAGAGTGCATCAACATAGTTGACACCCGCGGCCCTGACTCTGATGAGAACCTCATTCTGTGCTGGGATAGGCCTCGGGATGGTAGATACTCGTAGTTGCTGTATATCACCGAATTGTTCGATTCGAACCGCTTTCATTGTATTTCAAGTAGGCAAATCACAGTCCAAGAAAATAGACTTCAAACTGATGGTGAACCAAGTTTCATTTTCGATGTAGAAGACGATTCTATTTCATGGGAGACAAGGCAATGATCTGAAACTAGCACCTAATTAGGAACTTGAACCTTGGCTGATGCTACTCCATCTTCTCGGCAGCTCAAATTATGTACGGTTATCGTTCTCCCGCTGCTGCTCTCCAGTAGCAATTAGCAACGGTCTAAACCTTACAGGCCCAGAGGCGATGACATAGTTTGGTTGTGGCTAGGTTTGGAGCTAAACTCGGAAGATTCAATGGGCCGACCGCCAACGTGCATAACCTCCCTAAGTGCACAACTCTAATCTGCCGATGATTTTCCGCAACGCAAGGAGCTTAAAGATTATGCATCTGACGGGAAACTTTTGGGTGAAGCGTGGCAGTTAAAACAAAGATCGAACATCAACCGGTCTAATTCCTCAACTCTTTCCTTTCATCATTCCGGTTCCCCTCCTCTTGCGCGACTCCTAGCGCACCCCCCGCCGCGCTCGGATTGATTTCGCGCCAGACACGAAGCGAAAATGGCGTCCTACGATGCTGCGCGCTTCGACGACTCGGAGGAAGAGGAGGATTTCAACCCAGCGCCTGCCGATCAGTCAGACGATGAGGACACCAATACCAGACAGGAGAAGCGGCCACGAGACCAGAGCTCCCCCGGTGATGATGATGGGGATGAGGATTCCGCCCCTCGAGCCAAGACGCGGCGCGTCATGGACGAGGACGAGGACAACGAACAGGACGATGACGAGGAGAGAGATGAAGAGGAGGAGGATGACGAAGAAAACGAGGATGATGAAGATGAAGACGACGAGGATGACGTCCAGACGGTAAGTTATCATACCTCGTACGTGATGGCGACGCAATTCGCTTTAGCTGACACCGATTCCAGCGTCGTCCCAAGAAGCGCCAGCGAGACCGCCGAACGGCTCTCTTCGATATCGAAGCCGAAGTCGATGACGAAGACGAAGGCGAGGATGAGGAGCGAGACGGCGAAGAAATTGAGGGCTTCATCGACAACGCCCATCCTGATGATGTCGCTGACACGACCCGCTTTGACGACGACCGACGACATCGCGAGCTCGACCGTCAGAGACAGATGGAATCCAGTCTCGATGCCGAGAAGCAGGCCGAGATCCTTCGCCAGCGCTACGGAAACCGCCGCCCGACTAAGGGTCTCGGCGACTCGGCCGTTGTCCCCAAGCGTCTCCTGCTCCCTAGCGTGGATGACCCGAGCATCTGGGGAGTCCGGTGCAAGGAAGGCAAGGAACGTGAGGTTGTCTTCTCCATCATGAAGAGAATTGAGGAGCGCCAGGGCACGAGAGATGAACTTGCCATTACTGCCGCGTTCGAGCGAGGTGGTGCGCAGTCCGTCATGAAGGGCTTCATCTACGTGGAGGCACAGCGCCAGAACGATATCCTCAAGGCCCTCGATGGCATGCTCAACGTGTACCCGCGCTCCAAGATGGTTCTAGTTGAGATCAAGGACATGCCTGAACTCTTCCGCGTTACTAAGGATTCGAGCTTGGAGCCTGGTGCCTGGGTGCGCCTTCGCAGACCCTTCAAGTACAACGGTGACCTTGCACAGGTTGTTGACGTTACCGAGAACGGGCTGGAGGCACGAGTCCGCTATATTCCCCGTCTGGATTATGGTGTGAGAGACGATTCCCTGACCGCTGGAGCTGATGGCAAGAGGAAGCGCTTCCCGGGCACCGGGCCCAAACCCCCTCAGAGATTGTTCAGCGAGGTTGAGGCTCGTAAGCACCAGCCACGCTTCCTTCAAGGAAATCCTTCAACCAACACATGGTCATTCATGGGTGATGAATTTGAGAACGGATTCTGCGTCAAGGATGTCAAGATCCAACAGCTCGTGGTGACAGACGTGAACCCATCGCTCGAAGAAGTTACGCGATTCGCATCCGGGGCGGAAGATGGTACTGAGAACCTTGATCTCAAGGCCCTGGCGGCAAGTTTGAAGGATAGCAACAAGATGGTTACCTACCTCCCTGGAGACATCATCGAGGTGTACTCTGGAGAGCAAAAGGGTGTCGTGGGTAAGGCAACGAACGTGCAGGGCGACATCGTCACAATGTCCGTGACTGAGGGCGACCTTGCTGGACAAACCATCGAAGTGCCTACCAAGGGGCTGCGGAAGCGCTTCCGAATTGGTGACCACGTCAAGGTCATTGGTGGTAGCAAGTTCCGTGACGAGGTCGGTACAGTGGTCAAGATTTCCGAGGATCGCGTGACTCTCCTTACGGATCAGACCAACACTGAAGTCACAGTCTTCAGCAAGGACTTGCGTGAGGCTAGTGATATCGGAGGGCAGGGCTCTCTCGGGCAGTTCGAGTTGCAGGACCTGGTGCAGCTCGACCCTACAACCGTGGGTTGTATTGTCAAGGTGGACCGTGAATCTCTGGTTGTATTGGATCAGTTCGGAGACACTCGTCAGGTCATTCCTACACAGATCCCCAACAAGCTGCCGAAGCGAAAGCAAGCTGTTGCTGCCGACCGTAGCGGTTCCGAAATCAGGTTGGACGATGTTGTCAAGGAGGCTACGGGCCAGCAACGACAAGGAAAAATCATCCACATCCACCGCTCATACGTCTTCTTGCATACCAATGACAGCACTGAGAACGCCGGTGTGTTCGTTACCAAGTCTAGCATGGTCAACACCATCGCTGCTAAGGGTGGCCGGGTTAACGCTGCATCCTCCAGCCCCGATCTCAATGCCATGAACCCAGCACTAAAGCTTCATAAGAATGGAGCCGAGAACAAGCCCCCACAGCCGCAGAAGTTCGGCCGCGACAGAGCCATGGAGCAGACCGTTATTGTCAAGAAGGGAGCGTACAAAGGTCTCCTCGGTATCGTGAAGGACACCACAGATACCCATGCTCGCGTTGAGCTACATACAAAGTCCAAGACGATTACTGTTCCAAAGGACTCGCTTAGTTACAGGGACAAGAAGACGGGTGCCCCCATCGAGATCAACGGTCGCGGCCGGGGTGGGCCTGGTGGTGGCTTCAACCGCAACTCTGGCGGCGGAGAGCGTGTCCCTGGTTGGCAAACAGGTTCTCGCACACCCATGGGATCCGGTGGGGATAGAGTCCCCGCCTGGGGTTCACGCAGTATGTTTTCCATATTTCCCACTTCATTTCAAGAACAAGTATTTGCTAACTGAATGACCATAGCACCCGCTGGTGGCGCTGGAGGTCGTACCCCGGCTTGGAAGGGCGGAGACTACTCTGGTTCCCGCACGCCTGCCTGGGCTGATGGCTCCCGCACAGTCAACCCATATGATGGTAACCGCACTGCTTATGGCTCTGGCTCTCGCACTCCCGCGTGGCAGTCGGGTGCCAAGACACCCGCATATGGTGATGCTTTTGGTGCAGGCTCCCGGACCCCTGCCTACGCAGGCAGCTCTGGAACAGATGCTTTCTCATCTGGCTCAAAGACACCCGCTTGGGGCGTCTCGGCACCAACACCTGGTGCCAGCAACAACGACAGCTGGAGCTACACGCCTGGAGCGACATCGGGCGCATTCGACGCGCCAACACCAGGAGGCGGCCTCGCAGCCCCTACACCCGGTGCGATGAACGCACCCACCCCAGGCGCCTACTCGGCACCTACACCCGGCGGAGCTCCCACGCCTGCGGCTAGCAACTGGCAGGGAGGATGGGGTGCCGACGCCGCGCCTACTCCTGGCGCCAGTGCTCCCACTCCCGCCGCCTCGGGTGCCTACTACGGAGCACCCACGCCAGGTGCCTATGGCGGAGCTCCAGAGACGCCTGCAGCCGGACCTAGGTACACGGATGATGACGATTGAGAGGGGATTGGAACAAGCATCATGGCGATGGCTTGAAAGTGTAGTTCTTATAAATCTCGCGACGGCGTTTTGGGATTTGGTGCTCTATTTTACCACTACCGTTTTAACTGTATAAGGATCAAATCAAAATAATCATTGGGTTAGTTAGTTTGCCCCAGAGAGGGTTCTACCTGCCAGCGTCTCATGAATTGAGGTTCAAGTTCAATTAACTCTTCCACTACCTAGACTTGATACTAGGGCTGTGTGATTGTTGCTCGGGTCCAAGCCCGCAAACACGGTGATGTGCAACAATCGCGAAGTCGAGACGGGTGCTGTGGGGAGAGATGTGGGATTAGAAGACCTTTTCCTCAGTTGAGAATAAACAAAGCATCACCTGTTATACGATCTCTCACTTTTGGGTGCTGTGAGTGACTTCCCGGCTCGGAGATGTTCAGTGATATTGATTGAGTCACTCCAGACTCTATAGGTGCAGGGTAGCCTCATGGGAGTTTGTCTCTGGAGGCATCACCACTGTGTTACCGTTGGTGGAGTCAAGTGTAGCGTGTTTTTGGCGTGACAGGGATCCATGCATTAAATTAAAGCGCGGTTCAAGTTCCTGGAGACGAACTAGCGCTGCCTTATGACACATGAGGGCAGCCCACGCAACTTTTTTGCATGAACTTGGGTAATTTGGACGCCGCTGGTGGAAATGCGACCGCCCATTGAACCTCGCCATTCTCCGGACCGTCTATAGGAGTCGCATTTCTCTCATCTTTGTATTCATTCAGCCTACACTGTCGAATTCTCACACACGAAACACAGTTTCCAGCCCGCCATCATGACCCTGGCCTCCACATCGCGATCGGCCCTGCTGCGAGGGTGCCAGGCCACTCGAGCCTACGCGACTGCAAAGTCCTCGCCCGCCGCCAAACCTACGCCGACAGCAGCCTCCAAAGCAAAACCAGTCTCCAGCACTGTCGCCAAACCTGCTGCGAAAGCTATAATAGCCCCCAAAAGGCCAGTCTATGCTTCCACGCCTCTGAAGAAAACCACACCGGCCGCCCCCGCGCCGACGGCGGCCAGCAAGACACCAGTCTCGAAGCCCCCGATTGCTCCCTCGGCGCAACAGAAAGTTGTCCCCAAGCCCATTCCTGCGAAGCCTGCGTCGACGTATTCTACACAGTCAAAGCCAAAATTGATTCCTTCGAAATCGGTCTACACTCCGAAACCGTCCACTGCGACCACCTCAAGCCCAGCCGCAGCGCAGCAAGCGAAGCCAGCAGCAGTATACGCTTCAACATCACAGAAGAAACCTGCCGCGACTCCCAAGAGCCCCGCTGCTGCCAAACCTGTCTCGAACATCAGGCCTTCCTCCGCCCCCTCCAAGCCAGCTGCTACGCCGACCCCTCCCAAGAAGATAGTCAAGTCTGTGCCGACATCCCCATCACCGGCTACCCCTCCTCCCAAACCTACCCCTGTACCAAAGGCGCAGCCGACAGCAGAGAAACAAGCCGCTGCGCGGGAGGCACAGCTTCGGGCGGCGCGTGCGCGGAGGGAGGACCGACAGGCGGAGGAGGCCACAAAAGAGGACGCGAAGAAGAAATACAAGAAGGAATATAATAGCCTGGCGTGGCGGTGGACGACCGGCATCATTGCGATGCCCATTTTGCTGGTGACCAGCTACTATCTATTCGATCGGCGTAAGTAGCGAGCCTGGATGTTCTGATTTCTGATTGCCTTGCTAACTCTTTCCAGTGGCCCTTGGACATGAGCAAAAGACGGTGCCTAATATGGACAACCCACGAAGCCATGATAATGAAGAGAAGAGTGGAGAGAAGCCTGAATAGAGAGCAAGGGGTCTTGTTCCTAGAGAGGTAGAGGACCGGCTGATGTGTATGATTTATGGTCTTTTGGAACGCTTCTCATGGGCATTGCGATGAGCTAGTCTGCTTTGCCGACTTACATGTACGACTTAACATCTGTGACGGCCTGTTCCGGCCGGAACTCCCACTTCGGTGTGGGAGGCTTCTGAATTAATGTATATTATGACCGTTTTCTGGATCATTTCTAGCTAGAGAAAGCGCGTAGGCGCGAGAAGCAAGGGGCGTTTCCGGAAGGAAACAAGGCAAAAATACATTCTCGACTCATGACGACGACACGAATACAAGACATTTGGCCTGGTTTGCCCCCTTTTTGCATGGCACTCGCACTCATCCTCCGTTGCCTGGCAGGGTACATGTATGCTGGCAAACTGGTGGATTTCATAATGTTGCTTAGCCAGTCAGATTCACTGATATACCCGTTTCTTCCAGGTTGAGAGCATATGGCCTAATCAAGGCACCGCAGCGACAATCCCAGGAGGAGATGAGGGGAAGTTAAAGGCATCGACACATGCCCCTCCCCCTCATTTCTGTCTCGCCTATTTTGGCATGTGCTATTAATACCACTGACAGGTAGAGAACGCTGTACTCTTCTTTTTACATCACGGTTGATATTATTCCTGGGAATATTTCAGTGTCGATATTTACCATCTTGATGTAATTTGTCAATTGGATCAACCACTGCACTGCTCATTGACTAAACAAATACCTTGACCATCCAACATGGCAACTCCCGAGACACACATCTACCCTCGCCCGGACTTTGAGCGCAGCCCCCTACGATGGCAATCGCTCAACGGTCCCTGGGACTTCATCTTCGACGATGACGATAGCGGGCTTTCCAAGCTCTGGCAGCAATCAGGGCTCCCCAGCGAGACCACAGCCTCAACTACCCCAAGCCCACAGGGCAATACCAACGAGAGCGACAGCATCACGCAGAAGATCGCCTCTGGCACGCAGGATCTCATCAAGGATAACCTGCTCTCCAAGGCCGGGAGCGACAGCCAGAAACTCAACAAGAAGCAACAGATCATCGTCCCCTTTGTCTTCCAGAGCCCGGCGTCCGGCATCAACGACCGCAATGTCCACGAGGTGCTCTGGTACGAGCGCACCATTTCTGATCTGCGATCCGACGAGGAGAAGGGTAAAGGCCACCGCCTGATCATGAGATTCGGTGCCGTGGACTACCTGGCTACTGTCTGGGTCAACGGCCACCATGTCGGCGGCCACCGTGGCGGGCATGTCCCCTTTGAGGTCGACCTGACCGATGCTATCGATGCTGCTGGTGCATCCTCCTCTTCGCTTCATAGGGTTACTGTACGCGTGTACGACTCGGCCTATGATCTTACTCAGCCTCGTGGGAAGCAGTACTGGGGTGCGCAGCCCGAGAGCATCTTCTACACGCCGTCGGGGGGCATCTGGCAGAATGTGTGGCTTGAGGTCGTCCCTGCAGCGCGGATAGCCGATGCCAGTGGCGGCACGATTATACAATCCCACGATATACACTCCGGGAAAGTTCACAGCACTATTGCCGTTGCTGGCCGCAGGGCAGGGCAGGAGCTTGCGGTCGAGCTGGAGGCAAGCTTCTTGGGTGTCGAGGTCTCCAAGTCGGAAGCTGTCCGACTCCCCCGCGAAGCCGACCATGCCAGCGTGGACCTCGACGTGCGATTGTCGGAGGAGAAGCAGAAGAGTCTGCCACAGGCTGTGGCGGGCGCTGAACCCGGTGCCGCTCCGCTGGAGAACGACTTCGCGTGGAGAGGCGGCGTTGCCTTGTGGTCGCCCGAACACCCTCAGCTGTACGACCTCACCCTACGCCTCCTGGACGCCTCCGGCCGAGTGCTGGATGAGGTCAGGACCACCACGGGCATGAGGTCCATCGGCTGGACCGAGGGAGACGGCCACTGGCGCCTGAACGGCAGGCCATACTTCCAGGCGCTGTGCCTCGACCAGGGCTACTGGCCCGAGACGTTCATGACGCCCCCGTCCGCCGCGAGCCTCAAGGCGGACATCGAGCTCGCCAAGAGGATGGGGTTCAACGGGTGCCGCAAGCACCAGAAGGTCGAGGACCCGCTCTTCTACTACTGGGCGGACAGGCTGGGGTACCTCGTCTGGGGGGAGATGGCCAGCGCGTACCGGTACAGCCAGCTCTACGTCGAGAGGTTCGACCGGGAGTGGGAGGAGGCCATGCGGCTGGTCATCAACCGTCCGTGCGTCGTGACCTGGACGCTGGTGAATGAGAGCTGGGGGTATACGGCCCTGAAGGAGAATGTCGAGCATCGGAATCATATCCGATCGCTGTATTACCAGACCAAGTAAGAGAAGGATTCCCTTAACACACTGGATCTGGAGTGAAGAAACTAACGCGTTGGGGGAAAAACTCCAGGACTCTTGACCCTACCCGCAGCATCAATGATAACTGCGGCTGGGAGCATGTCATCACCGACTTGACCACATTCCACGACTACGCCGATGGTCCCGAGCTCGAAAAGACCTGCGAAAGCCTCGATGCGATCCTGGGCCTCAAGGCGGGAAGAGATCTTTTCGTCCGCGAGATCCCTGGCAGAGACCCGGGAGCCGGGCACCTCACCGGGGCGCCCGTTATGTGCACCGAGTTTGGGGGCGTCAACATTGCGGCGGCCGCTGTGCCGGGCGACGGCAAGGAGCGAGACTGGGGCTACACGACGGCGAGCGACCCGGAGGATCTGCTCAAGAGGGTGAGCAGGCTGGTAAAGGGGGTGACTAAGGGCGGCCACTGCTGCGCCTTTGTTTACACGCAATTGTGAGTTTGGGCCTGGTTATTTTTTGGACAATTTGAGGATGTAACTGACCCGTTTGCTTTAGGACTGATATTGAGCAAGAGGCGAATGGGTTGTATTCTTTTGACCGTAAGGAAAAGCTGGATTCGGCCAAGGTCAGGGCTCTGATGGAGGAGGCTATCCAGCTCTACTATGACGGCGTTAAATGAGTTGAAACCCCATTGTGAGAGATCTAGGGATATGGCTGGTTTGTTTTACTGTCCAATAAAAAATGCTTGATATTTTTATTTCAAAATTGATATCTCATGATGGGTAACTGACCGTTTTAACCCTAAAGATGCAGTCTGCACGCTCCAATACTAATGCAGGCTCCCCGCCACCTTTGGGATATACATGAACAAACAAACATGAACACCAAGAGATGTCATCTCCTAAGCTCCCTTATACAACGTACATGTATCATGCAAGATGAAAAAAAGGTCAAATATTTGGATACAAATGCGTATATGAACAGTGGAACCAAAGGCCAAGAAGAGGGGTAAAAAAACCTCGAGAGAATGAGACAAGGATCACACCCCCCCTCTCGACTCTTTGATCGTCGCCTGCATCTTCTCTATCGCCCGAGGCTCCAAGCTCAGAATGAACATCCTCACAAGACTACACTCCGGCTTCCCCATCTCCCGCAGCAGGACCTCGCGCTCGCGCCTGAGCGTCGCGGGCTCGACCATCATCAGGTGCAGCAGCGCGGTGCTCATCGGGAACGGCGTGATGTGCTGGCGAAACATGCCCGCCGAGGGGTGCGTGAAGATGCGGAGGGTGCAGACGATGTCGTGGCAGCACGCGTCGATGTCCACCGGGTGGCGCGGGCTCCCGGGTGGCTGTAGCCTGTGGAGGATCGTGACGGCGCGGACGCACATGGACCAGTAGAGGCTCATGACGTGGGCGGCGGCGAGCTGGCCTACCTCGATGACCTCTGGGAGCTGCTTGTCCAGGTAGCGGGGGAATTCGTCGAGGGAGCTGAAGTGCCGGTCGTGCCACTCTAGCATGCGGTCCAGGAGGCGCTGCAGCCCCTTGACGATGAAGGTGAAGCATAGTTGCTTCTTGTCCGCGTCTTTCCAGCCCTGCGCGACGTCTATTGCCTCCAGGATGGCGGGCAGGTCAACAAGGATGTCGAGGAGATGGTCCCGGGGTGTCTTCTTATGCTCTGTCCAGGGCACTGTCTTCCAAACTGGGTCGGAGAGGAAGCAGCGCTTGCGGGCCATTAGAGCAGATAACGCCTATAGGAGAAAGATCAGTTAGATGAGGGTGGGGAGAATGAGACATGTATAAAGTGCAATTGAGACTCACCAGGTGGTGTCTGCCTGCTACAAAGAGCATGTGTGAGTAGCCCGAGATGTAGGCAGACGGGGGTTTCGAAGTGAGCAAGGCGACATCGCCTCCGCTGTGAACCATCCAACTTCGCCGGTGGTCCATGTGGCTCTGTGAATCAGCTCCATGAAACGCCTAGTCAAAAATAACATATGAGTAAACTGTGTAAAGGTTCAGGAGGGACGACCTACCTCATAGATACTGAACAACCGGGTGGCCTGCAGTTGGTCTTCCGTCCACTTCTCCACGCCTTTGAAAGATTGAGACAGTTCATGTAGGGCATCGCCGTAGAAGCGATGGCCCTCCTTGCGCATCCATCCAGCCTCGGGATTCCGGGCGCCGACCGTAGCGAAGGCCATGGCTACGAGGCCCTTGTACACGGTGGTATTGTTGTTTGCGATGCCAATCATGGCGTTGATGGAGCCCCCGAGGTCGACCTGGTGGTTACCGGGGGGGAAGGGTTTCCCGTTGGGTAGGTAGGACTCCCAGAAGAGGCCGATGACGCGAGCTTCCTCCGCAGACCGGGATACGGCGCCGGATTTGAAAAGGTCGGCAGATGCATCGTTATGTACTTTGTGGTGGTGTAAGCGTTTGCGAACCTTGTGGAAGTGACGGGGCCGGCTGCCATAGGAAAGCTGGGTTTGCTCTGGAGTATCATCCGGTAGCTCCGAATACTCACCAATAAGCGCGTAGTTGTGGTCTGGAACGATGGGGATATCAAGAGTGTCTAGGGGAAAGATATCTGAGGCTGGAGGAGTCGCAATGAAAGAGGGCGAGGCTGAATGCGAAGAGCTCCCCAATGAAGGAGGGACGGCCGAGGGAGACAGTGCAGGCTGAGTAGGCGGCGTAGGTAGGTAGAGAGGGTTAACATTTGATGTTGAATCCTTGAGCTGTAGAGGTAGAGTGACGATAGGGGCTGTCATGAACCGGTGATCTGTCTCGGATGATGCTGGATAGGATGATACCCGAGGCGGATCTACGAAGGGTGGTGATGCATCTTGCATATATAACGGTGCGCCGGCAACACCGTAGAAGGGGGCAATATCAACATTATTGGTGGTCGTATTGCTATCGCTCGTTGAAGCACCCGAGTTGCCGGCATTGGAGCGCTTCGGACCTCGATTATATCCTCCACAGGGAATGCAAGATTTGCGGCACTGCCCGCAGCTTGGCCTTTGCAGGTCGCACTGATGCCAGACCCGATGTATCACATTAGCAACGATGCATAAATGAGTTTGCTGAGCACAGGGGATAGGGGAGCGGAGATGCAAGTGAGACGGCGATGGGAGCGGGGATGGTGGACTTGGCATGCTCACAGGCAAACTAAAGCCATGGCACCGTCACCCATCACGACACGACGGGTTGGTGAATATGTCGGTCATGGCCCAAAGCAGATAAGATGTGTGATATGGGGGATGTGACGATGGATGGTTGGTTGCGAGCCCTCAGTAAAGTACGGCATTGCAACCATAGAGTTGCGCAGCATGAACCACGCCAGAAAGACGCCTGGGGATGAGGAGAGCGATTGGACACGAGGAGAGATAGAACAAAAGGCATGAGACGGCGAACATTGGATTTCCAGGGAAGCACTGTAGTCTGCGCGCTTGGTCGAGTAGAAAACGTGGACTTACACCTTTCTTGCGGCGCGAGCATGTAATGCACGCCTGCGGACGGCCCTTGACTCCAGGGCCCACCATCACTGCTCACCAACTCCAGCTACCGAGGACCTGGTCGGGCCAGGGACGGGAGAAAGATAGGCGAGGAGACGGGTTGTAGTACGGTAGTTTTGCTACGTAGTGCCGGGGACTGCCAGTGAAAGCCGTCGGTCTGGTCCTCTTTTCCCCACGGGAGTGGCTTGACGCAGGTCAGAAAATGACTGGATCATGGATGGAAAGTGGGATGGGATGGGGATCAACCGAGCAAGTGATGACAAAAGCGGGAGAGGGGTGGGAAAACAGACTGGGGTTGTTGTGAGCATGGAGTAACGTTGGCCAACCGCAGGCGAGTCGCAGTCTGAACAGCCTTGCTGGGCCATGTACAATCAGTCCGTCCTGCTCTACTACCCCTCGCGGGAGGTAGATTGGCCCCGGATTCACCGCGCCTTGCATTGCCCCAGTCTGGCGGATTGATCTTGATTGCGGACAGCACGTACCTTGTGGAGATGGGAACGAAGCTAAGAGCAAGCTCCTGTTGATCTCTCCGGGACTTTCCCAGGCCACCGGGAGGTCGAGAGATGGTCTGTTGCTTTGTTTGTTGGCGGGTCGTTCTTCAAGAATGGCGCGATGCCGGGCCTTCTCTTCCCCCAAAGTCCAGGCCCAGGAACTGCCTACTTTTAATTCACCCACCCACAGTTTCAGTTAACCTATATATCCGTCTGTCGGGGTTAGAAGGCCTACCCAGGCTGGGATCACGTGGCTGGATACGGTATTTTCCCGATCCATCGCTTGGTCCGTATTCCCAATCGCGAAGTCGCCGAGGCCATTCTGGAGAGAGCGGTCTCGTTCGTCTAAACGTGGAACTAATAACAAGCTGGCGAGCCACTAGGCTTCCTGCATAAACACGCCAAATACCACTGAAAATGTAGATATCCTACCATGTGTTGCTCTGATGTATAGGAGAATAACCACCGCGAGCCCTCGTTCAGATCTCGATACAGATATCCCTTCCCCAGACCAGGGGTTCGTCCAAGGCAGCCACCAAGACAAGCAGCAGTTTACCGTGCCTCAGATGTCAGCATGTAGGTACCACGGCCAATATCATATTAAAACCAGCTCACTGGAATGGCCCACTGTATAGGGGTGGAACCTGACTCAGATTAAACGCCGGTGCTATTTCAGATGACTGGCGCCACCCGTGATGGATATGTGTACATTTATTTACCAGGCAACATGCAATATATTTAATTAAATGCAGTGACAATGGAGAGGGGCGATCCGGAGCTGAGATTGCTCTAAAAAACGTCGGGATCAGCAACAGGGATGCAATTACCAAAGCTTCCAGGCTGATTCCCTAAAGAACGTTAGCCGGGAATAAGGAGCAAGTTACAGACAAGTTACAACTGAACGATGGCGAAAGCATATATACATAACCACAGCAGGTAAGACGTAATATGATGGACTACGAACGTGTCTTTAGCCTCTGACGTTTCCTTGGGTTAGTAGCTATTGCCTCGATAATGAGTAAGTAAGAGATTATTATATGATAATTGGGCTTCATGTTGTATTATTGTCGCGTTAATCGCTTCAACGAACCGTCAGATCACCTCTTTTCTAAGCAATGTACTGAAACTAAGGATTCTGTCCAGACAGCCCGTGACTTGTAGAGCTTTGACTCCTCAAATTTGCTTTCAAGTTGAGAAATCTATTTAAAGCCTATCGAGCGCAATAACTTCTCTACTCAAAAGAAGGTGATCGTGATTGAGGAATGCTCGTGAGGGTAGGTTGCCATGTCTAGGGTAGCCACGCTCCTGAAAGATGACTCAGCATGACGAACCTCGGTACAGCAGCGGCATTGTACGACTTCATCGTGCCTGCCTTATCAACCCAGAAGTCTTAAGCTCGAGACTCTCTCTCTACACTCTTCACGGTCGCTACTGGGCTTCAAATACTCGCCCATGAAGTTGTTTGCTGCACCCACGAACTGACCAGCGCATCACGCGCTCACTAACCATAGCAATGGCCCCCTCAATCCCGAAGCCGAGCACACAGCGGCCGTCTCTGCTCCTGCTCTGTTCCCCGCCCTCCCCGCCAAACCGCCACTCCCTCCATGCGGCCTACTACGCCCCGATATCTGAGGCCCTCGCTCGCGTCCCCGATGCCCCGTACCTCACCGTGGTCTTGGCGGCGCCCTTCGTCCCCTTGAAGTGGACCTACTTGCAATCACTCCTTGCTGGCCTGTACAGCCTTGTTGCTTCGATTACCGACGCCGATGTACGCATTATGCTCGTGGACCATGTCCGTGGACGAGACTACCCCCCAGATCGCATCGCGCCTTTCAACGATTCTACAATTCCGGATCTAGGTACATATGCTGCACAAAAGCACCGCTACCAGTATCTATTGCACCCAAGCACCGAAGGGAGCTATGAGCTTCTCGCTACCTACCTTCGAGTCGCGGAGCGATACGAGAAGGTTCTCCAAAAGCAGATCATACCACTACCCGGCGGTCTCAGCCTCTCGACTGAGTCTCTTCTGGACACTGCCCCAGCCACCGATGTGACAGAAAGATATCGTGGGGTATGTCTGGGTGGCACCTTTGATCACCTTCACCCTGGGCATAAGCTACTGCTTCATGCTTCCACGCTTCTCCTCAAGCTGCCCCGAAATGATGAACCCCCAGCAACTCTCATCGTAGGGATATCGGGCGATGCACTGCTGAAAAACAAGAAGTTTGCCTCGGAATTGGAATCGTGGCCGTACCGTGCCAGATCCGTCTTCTCATTTCTCTCCACAATCCTCTCCTCTCCTGCCCCCGAGGTTGAGGATAGAGAGTATGGCGACAACGAAGAGCTCCATGCCAAATTCTGTGATGAGCGGTTGGATATTTGCTTTGCCAACATCGTTGATGTCTTCGGCCCCACCATCACCGTCGAGGACGTGCAAGCTATTGCCCTCTCTGGGGAGACGCGTGGCGGCGGCACGAGCATAAATGAGCGGCGAGTTGAGAAGGGGTGGAATCCGCTGGTCGTATTTGAGATTGATGTGCTCGATGCCACGTCAGATGACGGAGACGCCAAAGAGGCGAGAAAGCCAGATGATTTCAGTGCCAAGATCAGCAGCACCGAGATCAGAAAGCGCAAGGCCGAGTTGAAACCCCAAAAGAGTGACCACTAGGCTAGGTACCTGAGAAGGGCTTCAGGTATTTAGTATCATGAGTTATGAACCATCATGAGCTGAATGAACATGCTATTTCATCTTCTAGGAGCAATTTCCATGTCTTCTTAAGGGGTGGGTAATGGCCATGCCAAGGTTTGAATCTGGGCTACAATGAATGTAGGAACAAACTACTGAAACCATCATCTTCACTCGTCTAGTAGGGCACTTTGGTTATACTTTATTTGTATTGGGCATATAAAGACATCGATTTCGCTATTTGAAGACAAGTACAAATCCGGATTCACATCTACGCAGCATCTTCTATATCTTGGCCTGGATCGGCCCCTCGCCCTCATCCTCCCTGTGTGTGAAGGTGACGAGCTTCCGCCCTGCCACCGTGCCGCTCTTGGTGAGGAGCTTCCGCCTGCCGCCCGTCGTTAGGGGCGCGTCGTCGTCGTACTCCCTGATGTAGTACCCCCAGTCGGCCGTGTCGTCCAGCTCCGTCTGGCTGTAGCCGTTGCCCATGAAGCTGAAGCGGTTGCCGGCGTACTTGATGTCCAGGTCGTCGAAGCGCACGTCCTTCATCATCTCGAGGTAGTGCAGCGCTGAGCCGGGCCACAGGGCGAGCACCTTGTTTCCGTCCCGGCCGCCCTTGTACCACGAGCGGCAGGGGTCGTTCCAGACCGTGCCCTTCATGAACCAGTCCTTGTACTGGACGAAGTCTCGTACCGCGTCCTCTTTGGGTGCGAATTGCGAGATGTTGGTGGTCTGGAAGCGGTCGATGACCTTGCACATCCAGTCCGCCTGGGCCTCGATGGCGCAGAGCACGGGGCCATTGCCGATGGGGCAGTTGGGCCCCAGGAAGATGAGGTAGTTGGGGAAGTCTGAGGCGGCGACGCCCATGTACGATTCTGGCTCTGTGGCCCACTTGTCCTGCAGGTTCGCTCCCGAGGGGTTGACCACGGGGAACCGGGGCTTGAATGTGGTGTCGAAGCCTGTGGCACAGATGAGGATGTCGAGCTCAACCTCCTGGCCGTTGTCGCACAGACAGCCCTTCTCGGTGATGGCGTTGATCTCGCCATAGATGACGTCGACGTTGGGCTTGGTGAGGGACTCGAGGTAGTTGACACCGGGACTCAACCTGCGGCAGCCCAGGCTCCAGTCGGGGATCAACTTACTCTCGAGGTACTCGTTGCTTAGCTTCTCCTTCATCTGTTGCAGCATGTAGGCGCGTGTGTCCTGGTTGACCTGGGTGTTTTTGAGGAAGATGCCGAACTGGCCGTTGAGGCCCGACTCAATTCCCTTGCGGTAAGTGGTGAGCGTCCCCTTCTCGTTGGCGAACTTGTCCAGCTCGTCGGCGGAGAACTTGTGCTGCTCCAGGCCCTGGACGGGTGACACGTATGTGGGTTCGCGGATGAAGTTGATGACTCTTTTGCACTTCTCACGGATTGCGGGGAGAACTTGGATACCTGATGAACTGCACTGATGTTAGCAACTGATTTTTTCGCTTCTTCAAATTGGTGTTCAACTTACCCATTTCCGATCAGACCAACAGTCTTGCCCTCGAGCAAGACTGAGTCATCCCAGTTTGCAGTGTGAAGCAAAGTGCCCTTGAACTTGTCAAGGCCAGGGATAGCAGGATACCTCCAGTTGTTGAGAATACCACTCGCATTGATGAGTATATCACACTCATCATCGACGATATTCCCCGTAGCAACATCCTTCACCTTGACATCGTACCCCCCGCGGGTGTCGTTCCAGTAAGCGCCCACGACCTGGTGGCTCGTCTTGATGAACTGCTTGAGGCCGTACTTGTTGGCGAACCCGTCAAAGTACTCAAAGATCTCCTTGGCGGGCGGGTAGACGGCCGACCAGTCCAGCTTGGGCTCGAAGCTCCACGTGTAGTTGTGCGAGGGGACGTCGCAGGCGCAGCCTGGGTAGTTGTTCTCGTACCACGTGCCCGACACCTCTGGGTTCTTCTCGTACACTGTCAGCGCGAAGTTGCTGAAGTGCTTCTGGAGCTTGTAGGCCATCAGGAGGCCGGAGGCGCCCGCGCCGACGCAGATGATGCGGACATGGCGCTCGGCGTGGATGGGCCCTGCTAGGCGTCTGCTGGCGTCTAGCTCTGCGGCGTGGGAGGTGCCCGGGATGGGGAAGTCTGCCATGGCTTTTTTGGGCTCGAGCAGATTTCAAAAAGGGTGAATTCAATGGTTGGAGCCTGAAGACTGTAGATAGAGGGGGAGGAAGGGACTGTATCTAGCCTATGCAGGTCTTACATGAGATTGGGGAATTGAGAATTGGGAATGAATGAGTGAGAGGGATGAATTGGTGCAGGACAAGCATATTTATGACAATCCGACCGAAGGGACTTCAGCTGGATGCGTGGTTAGGCCGGCTAAGGGCCTGGCCACATCTCGGGCTGGAACACCCACGGGGAAAGCATACACGTCCTATACAATGGCATCATGGGAGACACAGACCAGACTGGATCCTCGCTACTCGTTTGACGGTGCTCTACCAATACCGGTTCCCCGAATTAACCACGCCAACATGGCAGGGTCTGGTCAAGAGCTTTCTCCATACAGCCCACATGAGCTAGGGAAGCTCCAGAAGATGGTGTCCAGCACGAGTAATGAAGGTGGTTCTGGCCTGGCACCTCTGAGTCAAGAGAGGTGTATGTACCGGGGGACTGATCAGGTGAGAGGGGTTCGTCTTGCACGTCTGAGTCGTGTCGACGAGCTGGTTTGGTTTTCCGTGATAACTACGCTACGAGTGTTCATCTTCCGAACGGAGGGAGTGGAGGTTGGTGATAATCCTCCTATCCCATGCATGTAAGTTTAGATCTAGTGGCATTCTCTACCCCGGATCCAGTATGGGGGGTGTGTGTGCAAGCGGAGTTACAAGTACATTGCCCGGCTGTGCGGTTAATGACAACCGAGTCGATGAGATTCCTGGGGTCGTGGCACTAACAACCCCATACTTTCTCCCGCTTCATGTGGGGGTTTGCCAATTGTCCCGTGGGTGATTCAGTAGAGAGAAGATCGGGGGTTCAATTAGAAAATCCAGTCGTATTTATCATGGTGTGCTGACATGTTTGCTGGGCGACAACTTGGGGCATGGAGTGGAACATTTACGCACTATTGTCTAGATATTGAGTAACATTTATGCAGAAGGCACATACACATCTATCTATTTAGCCAAGGAGAGAAGAACAACTGTGCCCTCGTGCCCGAATACAGCCACAATATGCAGCTTGGCTGCCGTAGAACGCAGTAGATGGAGAACTAGCCATGCAACATGCGAGATCGTGAAACACAGGAGCGAGTGCCGATCAGCATCTACAGCTTGGCCCTCGCTCCTCCTGCGTTATGCGCCTTCTTCTCCAGCTCGGCCGCATCTCGCTTGGCCCACTCCCTCATCGTCTTGCGCTGGATCTTGCCGCTGGCCAGCTTGGGCACCTCGTCGATGAAGACGACGCCGCCGGCTAGCTGCTTGTGCTTGGCCACCCTCGGCGCCAGCCATTTCTGGATGTCGCTGGGGGTCACTTTGCCCTGCGACGCCTCCTGTATCACTACATAGGCGCGCGGCCACTCGTTTCCGTTGCTAGATGAGGATGACCGGTCAGCTGGCCCTGCATTAGGCTGGCCGCGTGGGCAGGCCAGAGGTAAGATGAGAAGTAGGGCATTTTTGTTCACTCACAGGGTTATCCCGACGACGGCTGCATCAGCCACATTCTCATTTTCAAGGAGAGCGGCTTCGAGCTCGGCGGGTGCGACTTGTAGAGCGTTAACCTTAATAAGTTCCTGGGAGATTAACACGTTAGTATGGTGAATATTGGAGAACGTGTTACATCATAGAGAAAAGACAGAGACATACCTTCTTTCGGTCGACAATCCAGAAGAAGCCCTTCTCGTCGCATATCGCAATATCGCCAGTCTTGAGCCACCCATCCTCATCGATGGTTTCCTTAGTAGCTGCCTCGTTCCTCCAATATCCGAGACAGATATTGGGCCCGCGGATGTGAATCTCCCCGGGCTTCCCAGTCTCAACCTCCTTGCCATCATCATCGACCAGCCGGCACTCGCAGTTGGGATCCAGCTGCCCAACAGACCCTGAGTCGTCCCTCACGCCCCCGGGGACATGGAGCGCCCCGCACGTCACCTCGGTCATGCCCCAGCCCTGGTAGATGTGGACGTTGAACCGGCGCTGGCACTCGTTCTGCAGCTCCCGCGACAGGGGCGCCGCGCCGCAGAGGATCTCCTTGACGCTCGAGAGGTCGTAGCGCGACGTCTCGGGCCGCTTGGAGAGCATGACGAGGATGGGCGGCGCCACCTGCAGGCTGGTGATGCGGTACCTGGACACGGCGAGGAGGAAGTCCTCGTACCGGAACTCGGCCATGATGTAGATGGGCACGCCGAGCCTGATGGCCATGAGGATCGTGTACAGCTGCCCGTAGGCGTGGTAGAGCGGCAGGAACCCGATCCAGCGCTCCCGCGGGCGGTTCTCGAACGAGTAGGGCCTCAGCCCGTAGCGCATGAAGATGGTCTGGTCCACGTTGGCGATGAGGTTCCCGTGCGAGACGCACACGCCCTTGGGCAGGCCCGTGGTGCCGGAGCTGTAGTTTATCGTGGCGATTGTCTTCTTGGCCTCGTCGGAGCCCAGGTCGGGCCACCTCCATGTGTTGCCGTCGTGTTCGGTGCCCGCCATGATCCTCCAGTCCAGCACGCCGTCGAGGGTGGGATTGGCCTCTTCCGAGAACTGGAAGATGCGCTCCTTTGGCACGCCCGCCTTGGCAGCCGCGGGTAAGATGAGAGGGAGCATCTTCGGGTGGGCGAGGATCACCTTGGCGGTGGTGTTGGTGATCTGATGGACGAGCTCTACATTTCCGTGTAAGTGACCGATTCAATGAAGACGTAGTTTTCACGTCAACACTCACCATGTTCCGTGTACGCCGGATTGGCACCGCTGAAGACAAGGCCGGCTCCGACTATACCGAGATATGCGACCGGGACGAATATCTGGTTGGGGGAGCAAATCATGACGACATCGCCGCGATCCAAACCGAGCCGCTGGAGGCCGCATCCCAATCGCCGGACCCAATTGAGCAGTTGGGCTGGGGATAAGTTCTTGGACGGATCCTTGCTGTCGAACCAGAGGGGCTCCCGTGAGGTTTTGGGAGGGTCTGGGAAGAGGTAGCTGAGGATGTTGGAGCTGGGGATGTCGAGCGCTGGGTAGCGCGAGGTGTAGAGCATGATTACAGGCTTCAAGTTGCTAAGCACAATACAACAAAGACGGTGCGATCTCTTGACGATTTGTGTAAGTCAATGTAAGTCAATTGGCTGGATCACCAGGGGAGAGAAGACCACGAGTCTGGCTGCCGCAACTCAGCAACGACAAAGACACGCACAGACACACGATCTTCACGGTTCTTCTAAAAATTCCATCTGAAAGTACTCATCTGCATCTCCGTTTTTGATTACTCGATTTGTCTATGGGGCGGCGAGGAAGTAATATCCCGAGGTCCCAGTTGGAGTAGTTTGCGGGGTAATAGCGAAGACCTGGACGGCCTGGAAATTGATCTGGAAATCTATGACCAGGGACTAATCCCTGCTGTACTTTTGGGGCCTACACTGGAGAAAGGGTATTGATTAGCCGCCAAAGAACGGGCCCTGTTGGGGGACAGCGGCGGTGGCTGGGCATACATATTAGCCACGGCCCACGGCTAGAAGAGTATGATTCATAACAGCCAATTCATATTATGAGGATGATGTTCACGGCGAGTGGAGAAAGGCATGAGGCTGTATCTACCGGTATCTTGCTTTTCATTTACTCTTCGTTGATTTGATACTGCCGAAACAAGCAGCCGAGCAGACACAGACAGAATGTCTAATCTCAAGAATTATGACTCCATCTTCTCTCTTGCAGGCAAGACCGCCCTGGTCACCGGCGGCTCCCGTGGCCTAGGCCTGCACATGGCCAGCGCGTTCCTCCTCTCTGGCTGCTCCCTCGTCATCATCACAGCCCGGAAGCGCGAGGGCCCCAACGGCATCGACCAAGCTGTCGAGAAGCTCAATGCGCTCCCGGGGATCCGGGGGAAAGCCGTGGGGGTTGCTGCCAATGTCGCCAGCTCGGAGGATATTGTGCGGCTTGTCGGCGAGGTTGATGGCCTTGTTGGGGCTCGGGGGCTCAGCATCCTCGTCTGCAATGCCGGAGCTGCGTGGGGCTCCAAGTTTGAAGATGCGCCTCCGAGCAGCTCAGTGAAGATCTTGGACTTGAATGTCCGTGGCGTTTTTGAGCTGACACAGAAGTATGCTACACAAGATATCTGAGTGCTGAATTTGGCTGACTTGGACTCCCGGGAAGATCTTTGCCGCTGCTCCAAAGGGCTGGATCGCCAGAAGACCCCTCGAGGCTGCTCATCATTAGTTCTACTGCTGGTACCAACGTCCCGCATGTGGGAGAGCATGGGACCATTATGTATTCGACATCCAAGGCTGCCGCCCATGTAAGTTACACTCTGCTCTCATGATTCCTCGCAGCGTCTCAACGGATTGCCTCATACTGATGAATGATAGCACCTGGGCCGCAACCTCGCCGTCGAACTAGGTCCGAGGAACATCACCTCCAACATCATCGCGCCGGGTTTCTTCCCGTCGAAGCTGGCCCAAGGGCTGATCAGCAATCTGGGCGGAATCGAGGAACTCAGCAAAGACAATCCTCTTGGAAGACTGGGGGAGCCTGAAGATATCGCCGGAGTCGCTGTGTTCCTGTGCTCCAGGGCTGGTGCTTATGTGTAAGTGATTGTATTTGCACGTTCCTCATCGACTAGACTGACAATTCTCAGGAATGGCGTTGATATATCCGTGGATGGTGCTGCAAGACTTTCGGCTGGAAGGCTATCACGATTGTAAATATTTGGAATGTTGTAAATACTGGAAAAATCCTCAAGTCTTTTTTTCTTTACTGAATGTGAAGCGTTCATGAATCAATATGAATTTTTTATTTATTTTTTGGCGTATATTCATTGGCAGTAGCTCGAGATGGATCAATGATGTTGTATCAAATGGTATTCAATTTACGCTATCACTTCATTCTTATAACTTGGCCATATTGACAAAAACCGTCTTCTTGTCCGTGAACATGCGCAGCGCGTCAATGGCATTCTCTCTACCAAGGCCAGACGTCTTGGTGCCGCCAAACGGAGCATTCAAGAAGCATATACTGATGGCGTTGATGCCAACCATCCCAGCATCAAAGTCTGATGCCAAGCGAAGAGCACGGTTGATATCCTGGGTGAAGACACCGGCCATGAGACCATATTCTGTGTCGTTGGCCTTCTCGATAATCTCCTCCTCGGTCTTGAACTTGTTCAGGATGGAGACGGGGCCGAAGATCTCCTGCTTGCAAACTTCGGAATCCTCAGCCACGCCCTCAAAGATGGTCGGCTGGACAAAGAAGCCCTAGAGAATCACTGTTAGCAAATGGGAATGAAATTGAGCGTGAGTTGTCACCTACCTCGGATCCAATTCGACCGCCCCCGACGAGGACGTTTCCTTGCGTCTTTCCACGCTCAAGGAAACCCATGACCCGATCAAACTGGGACTGGTCTACAAGAGGTCCCATGATCGTGCCCTTGGCATCTGGATCACCAGCTGTCTGCGCCCTGCGGCCCATTTCTGCCTTGTAAGCGGCTACGAACTTATCGTAGATGCCCTCCTGCACATACACACGGCTCGCGGCGAAGCACACCTGGCCAGTATTGGCCGTGATTGCGTTCGCGCACCACTGGACTGCATTATCCAAGTCGGCATCGTCGAACACGACAGCCGGGCTCTTGCCCCCCAGCTCCAGAGTCACGCGCTTGAGGTTGGACTTGGCAGCCATCTCCTGGATGCGCCGCCCCGTCGCCGTCGAGCCGGTGAAGCTGACCTTGCGGACCTTCATGTGGCTGGCGAACAGGGCCCCCGTGCTGCCGTCGCCGGAGACGATCTGGAACACCCCGGGGGGGAAGCCAGCCTCCTTGATGAGGGCCCCCACGGCCAGGGCGGCGAACGGGGTCTTCTCCGAGGGCTTGAGGATGAAGACGTTTCCCGTTGCCAGCGCCGGCCCAGCCTTCATGCCTACGTTGCCCATGGGCCCGTTCCAGGGGATGATGCCGGCGCACACGCCGAGGGGCTCGTTCCTGACAATCTTGAGGAAACCGTCCTCCTGCGGATACGTCTCCCCGGAAAACTTATCCGTCCAGCCGGCGAAGTACCGAAAGCTCTCGGCGGCGAGGCCCAGCTCAAAGACACCGAACGACTCCCAGGGCGCACCGAGCGTCAGGCGGGTCAGGGCAGACAGCGTTTCGGCATTCTCGTCGATGAGATCGGCCAGCTTGTTGAGGCAGTCGCGGCGTTGTCTGGCGGTGGACTTGCGCCACGTCTTGAAGGCTTCAGCACCGGCGGCGACGGCGGCGTCGACGTCCTGCTCGCCGGCCAGGCTGACGTCGTTGGCGACGAGCTTGCCGTTCTTGGGGTTGAAGACCTCGATTTTCTTGGGGTTGGTCGAGTCGACGTACTGGATAGCCGCTGGTCAACATCGAACAGGCTTGTAAAGCTTCCTCCCATCCGCATTATGGCTTACCTCGTTATTGATGAATAGTTGTTTTGGCAGATTTTCTGCGCTGAAGGGGAGTTTGAAGGTCATGGTGGTATATTATGCCTAGTGAAGCTGAATCTATCGTACGGGTATGATAGGTCTGATGGGGGAGCAAGCTTCTTGATTTATCCAAGGCCACACGGTTGAATGGGATATCTTAGACACGGCTTATGCAGAATGAGGCGAAATCTATATGAATCAAGATACGCATCGACTTGCCCACTTAGACTTACACCCCTCTGCTTCAACTCTCTGGCCGCGGGAACGAGGCGGAGCCCGAGACCGAAAGTGTGCCATCTTCACTCCATCGGCTACGCTTGTGCATGGAGGAGCACAACCGGGAGGGGAATTGATTTCCTCATCTTGGCAGAGTTACAAGCTTAATTAGCTCGTATTCATGTGTTGGCAGGTTGAGTCAGTGATGCTGATCAATGTCCCCAAGCATGACTCAAGCTTGGTCCCGGAAGCCAACTCCCGGGAGGATGAAGAGAGCGGAAGACGACAACGAGACTTGCTACACACCCATACACGAACTATTGACAGGAGCTGCCACACCTTTTTGAAATAGAACTAGCATGGCTCCGCCAAGATGCGGGGAAATGGAGGCACCCTTATGATATGTCATGGAGGGGGGAAGCTGGTGCTAGGCTGTGTGTCTGGGGTCATTCGAGTGGTACTTGCTGGTGTCTGATGATTCTGTTTAGGTAGACATGCTCATAAATGTCAGTAAATACACGCCTTCCAGAAAATCCAGGCCGATCGTAGTCGAATGGGAGCTTTGATAACACGGCGATGATACCTATTCCATCATAAGGTATCTACATCATGGTTGCAGTCGCAACGACAAGCTTGCCACTCAATAATGGTAATTGGAGTCGGTGTTAACATAAGACCGGGCGGTTATGTGGTTACATGGATGGTCGTAGACTTACAGATTTGGTTCGCGACATATGTAGTATGCAGCCTTGATGAATCATGGCCAATGTGACGACACTGCATCCCACGGCCTGATCTGCTCCTTGGTTTGTAATCTGATTGTAATTGCATACGCATGGATGGAGCCCTAACATTCGGTTGCTGGGGAATTGAAGCATAATTCATGGCCTGTACGGAATACTAACACTCGGTTGCTGGAGAATTGAAGCATAATTCATGGCCTGTACGGAATACTACATGCAGTAATGAAGTTGTTCTCCTCGAAACATGATACGCGCGTTTACATGAACTAGATACGATGCTACCAAACATAATTTACAGCGAGTCCTCCGGCATTGTGATGATCTTCTCCCCATACTGCTCGGCAAACGACGCAGCCAGGGCATTGTACTTCTTGTGCCGCTCAGTAATCTCCGCCGCCTTCTTCATCTCGTCCCGGCCAACCTGATGCCGATGTGCCGCATCGGGCCCATCGGCGAGGCGGACGAATCGTGCATACGCCCAGAGCTTGGGCATCGGCGAGTGCTCGTTGGTCACGCCCTGGCCTCCCCACAGCTGCATGCACTCGTTGATGATCTTCTCGACCGTCGCCGGGACGAGGATCTTTGCCTGCGCGATGCTCTTCTTGCCGGCAGACTTGAGCATCTTGTCGTCGTGGGCGTAGAAGTCCAGCGTCTCCGTCGCGTTGTAGGTGATTTGCCTCATGGCGTCGAGCTCGAGCCGCATCTGGGCGACTCGCTCGATGTTCGAGTCGAACTCGCCAATCAGCTTGCCTCTGGGCTTGAACCGTGCATCGTTGCAGCGCATGATGGCCAGCTCAATGGCTCGCTCACACTGTCCCAGAAGACTTCGCATGTGACCCCGTCAGCAAACAGTGTTAAGACTCTTGGTATCAGATGCACTTACCGCAGGCAGTGGTGGATTCTGCCGGGCCCAAGCCGGCCCTGGGCAATGGCAAACCCTTTTCCGGGGCCAAGAATGACATTTTCTGCCGGGATTCGGACATTTTCCAGAGTGTATTCTCCATGCCCCTCTGGTGCCCATGAGTAGCCTAGCAGTCAAGCGTGTTAGTTGGGACTCAATTCCTGAAGGGCGAATGGAAAAGTGAGAGTCTTACCCAATACGTTGAGATTCCTGACTTGCGTGAAACCGGGAGTATCAGCAGGTACGATGACTGTACTGTGGCGCTCCCAAGGATTTGGGTTCTCCGGGTCAGAACATCCCATCATGATGTAGAACGCAAGGCCCTTGTTCCACATGCAGTTGCCGTATATCTTGCGGCCGTTGATGACATACTCGTCACCGTCCTTGGTGATGCGGATACCGACATTCGTAGCATCGGACGCCGCAACATCCGGCTCCGTCATGCTGTAAGCGGAAGACGCGGTGCCCTCCATCAGCGGCCTCAGCCACTTCTCCTTCTGCTTGTCATTGCAGAACTTGGCCAGGAGCTCGATGTTGCCGCTCTCCGGCGCGTGGCTGTTGACCGTCTCGGAGGCCCAGTAGCAGCGGCCCAGGATCTCCGCGCAGCAGGCATACTCCAGGTGCGTGAGCCCGGGACTCTCCTTGAAGTGATGGGGTAGGAAGAGGTTGAAGAGGCCCTGCTCCTTGGCCTTGGCCCTCAGCTCGAGCATCACGGGTGGTCTGGCCCACTGGTTGCTCTCAAGCTGAGCCTCCATGACATGCTCGCGGGGGATGCATTCGTTCTCTACCCAGTCGAACACGGACTGGATTTTCTCAATGGCCATGGGCCGTAGCTTTGGGAGGACCCATGGTGGGATGTGGGCGAATGCAGGGCCCGACAGATGGGCGTTGGCGGACATGATTGATGATTGATTGGGGTGTTTATTCTGGATATTTTCTATGCTTCCAATGCACCAATACAGACCGAACTGATGAAATCAACATTTGGGGAACCTTTGGGGACTTTTTGGTGGTTATGGTTCAAGGATATCTACAGCCGAGGTCGTTGTTCTCTGCCGTGGTCCGGCTGCTGTGTGGGGTAGTGAATCATTGCAATTGCCTGGGGATGGGAGATGGGACAGGCAAATGAAGTCCTCCAATTCCCTGCCTCGTAATTAAATTGACCGAATATCCCAAGGTCGATAAATCATATGATAATTGATCCTCGGGCCTTGGACTTTTCCTTAAGTCATGTCTCCATGTCTGTGTAAGGTGCTTAATTGAGATGAGCAACACCCTTACCACTGGTCATATTGGAGGCAGAGATTTAGGCAAACATGATCAATTGAGTATATATATATCTAAGGAATGATTTTGGCTTTGCGGTAGCGATCAAATGCAGTGTACCATGCCGTCTTGGTATCAACTTCCTCCTTGGCATCTCCCATCAGATCATGAGCCAGCGTCATATCCAGATGCCTGTCAAAATCAAACATCCTCATGATATATATAGGGAAACCTGCGTAGCTGCGGTCATTTCCAACCCGCCCAGTGGCAAGACCGTACTTTTGTTCAACCTTTTTCCACTCGTCAATATGGTTTGCCAGAAACTCGGCAGGATCGGGCCCATGGCCGCCGGCAGGGGGCCCAACGCCCTTGAGACCAAAGTAGTCGCAGATAATGGGCCACTTCCTCTCCCAGGTGGAAGGCTGAGAATTGTCAGCGGCATTGAAACGCTTGCCTCCGGAATTCTCAGGATGGAGAGACGCATAGATGGCAGTCTTGGCGACGATATCCTGAGAGCTGTCGTTGCTTCGGATCCTGTACGACTTTTCTGTCCCGGGAAACTGAACTTCGCTCCCTTTGCCATGAAGCTCCGCATGAAGAGAGAGATAGAGACCCAGCCACTGGGCGAGTGAGTAGATGTTCGAGTTGGGAATAAAGCCGACGATGACATCCGGGATCACATCACACCAGGTCCACGCTTTCCCCTTTGATAGTTCTGCGAGCTCGTCACATTGCCCGTAGTAGAACATCTGAGAGGCATGAGGTTCTGGGATGCGAGGGAGCGATTCCGCAAGGGGAAGCTTGTCGCTGAACGGGAATTTGTCCAACAGGTGCACCCCATATGCTTTTGTGCCGGTAGGAAGAACGACAAACTTGAGGGAAGGGGACAGTTTCTCAACAACCTTAACAGCCCGGGAGAGTAGTTCTCTATTGATGGAGAATTCCTTCTCATGGTCGGCATCCATGATGTAAGCTTGTGTAGATCAGCAAGCTGCCTCTAGATATCACTCCCGTTGCTATCGACTTACCGAAGAAATATACATGGGTTACTTTGGAGATGTTCTTAATCTTGGACTGGAGCTCCTCCTCCAAGCCGCTCTGCCCATTTGGGGTCAAAATGTCAATGCCGCTGACGACATCTAGTTTGTTGGACTGCGGCCATTGTGCCGTCTCGGCACTCAGAGGTCGATTGGTGAGGGCTGTGATAGATTGAAACGTCTTTGGTGTCGGGTAACCCTGAATGAGGAGGTTGGTGATTGCCCAACCGGTGATGCCACTGGCACCTAGTGTGGTTTAGTTTACATACGTGATGGAGAGGATGGGGTTTTGTATTACCAAAGATTAAAGCGTGGTTTGCAGCCATGGTCAAGATTGATCTCTAACAAGCTTTGGATTCTAGAAAGGTTCAACTGGGGGCTAAGTTCTCCCAAGAAGGATTATTCACGTAAACTATGGACTTTACATGTGCTCCAGCAGGCGTCGTCGCCTCTATATTCGAGGGCGGGGAGCTCACCCCCATAGCTCCAACCCACATCTAGAAGCCAATCTAGCAACGGATATACACAAGCTTGTCACAGAATAAGAAGGATCCATCAGAAATCTCCACGTCCCCAAGGGCGTGTGCTGAATCATGGGCGAGCATCGTTGAGTCAGGAAGGCTGCCTGAGCCAAGTCGTTGGTTGGCCGCGTGAGTCCTGCAACGACTCCCGACCCCTCGCCTAAACCAGAAACACCACTCATTGGCCTGCGAATGAAGCCAAGGCCCATCTACCTGAGCTTTCGGTAATTGTCTTGTTCGTCTTCGTCGTGTGAAGTTACCCCGAATTGCACCTCCGCATCTGGGACTGGGGGCGCTCCACACCGGCGCAGGAAAAGGTTACCCAGGCAGATCAACTCTCCCAACAACATCACTCTTTTTCCTG